CTCCTCAGAAATCCTAATCTGGGTTACTATGAGTCAGAACCTACTTGACAACACTTAACAACAAAGGATGTCCAAACTGCCATTTTGTTGTGGTGTAAATCGAAGAGTGCAGAATTGTTTGGGGGAAGGGTTAGAGAGATGGAAACACTACCTTCAGAAGGGTATAGACCTAGATGCAACATATATTTTGATATTTTTATTTACTAAAAGTTTCTATAATTTTATAGCAATACATTTTTTGCTTCCCCATATTAATATACACCTTTCAATTACAAGATACAATGCACTATATATGTAAACTTTTCGATTAAAATATTTTTTTTTCTTTGAGAAACAGGAGGAAAGCTAAGCACCTCACAAATATCCAAGCGTCTAGATTCCAGCCCTGTTTCCAAGGAAGAAATTTCCTAGTGTATTTCCTTACATTAAGAGGAACAAACCACTGCTTTGATATCGCCCTGCGTTTTCTCTCTCTGTATATTATCTGCACACAGTGACGCAGTGGTGGTGGTGGTGTGCTGTGGAGTCAGTTCTGACTCATAGTGATCCTGTATAGGGCTTCCGAGGCTGTAAACCTTTACGAGATCAGAAAGCCTCATCTTTCTCTCGTTTTGAACTAGCTGACCTTGAGGTTAGCAGCCCGACTCGTAATCAATATGCTACCAGAGCTCCTTCAGTGATATGGTAGCTTGTACTAAAGTTTAGGCAAGTCTGCTTTCACCTGTTGCTTTGTGTGAGTAAATTAATCTTGAGCACAAATCCTATTTATTTTCTCCTGCTCTATAGCCCTTCTTACTTCCTCCCAAAATGCGATTTAAAACCTGTTCCAAAGCTGCTTCCGCTTCAGTCTTAACCACAAACCTGTCACTATTTTCATGTTACAGGAATTTACCAATATTGTTTAACCTGTCCTAATCTGCATAGCACAATGCTTAGTACAAGACATGAGGTGACCATGCTCTCCTAGAAGCTGGAGAAGCACATCTGCCTGTAACCTGATGCCTTGCTCAGCAGATGTGTGAGAGGCCAGTCCTGTTCCAAGTGTTCCCTGGCTCACTCAAGGGGGCCCAGACCCAGTGTAGATCACAATGAGAATGACCCAAGCCAGAAATTTAACAGGAACACAGGCAGTCATTAGAAGAGAAACTAAAACCAAACCAAACCCTTTGCTGTTTAAATGAAATTGATACATACCCTAGAGGATAGAGAAGAATTGTCTAACGGGATCCTAAGAAATTTTACAGAAGCAGACTGTCACATCTTTCTCCCAAGTAATGGGTTACCACTCCGGACCTTTTGGTTAGCAGCCAAGTGCTGTAATCACTGCACCAACAAGATTCTTTATTAGGAGGGAAATCAATCCCAATATGAGGTCAAAAGTCCCTTTGACCTGAACATTGTTTTATAACTTCGCTATAAGGAAATTATCATGAATATGAGATTTGATGACAAAGAAGATAACATGGACTTGTTTAAATTTTCTTCAGTTTCAACTTGAACTTGCATACAAACAACAGATGGTCTGTTCTGCAGTCTGCCCTTGGCCTTGTTTTGGCTGAGGATACTGAGCTTCTCCACTTTCTCGAATTTTTAATATACTCGGAAACCCTGTACAGGGTCGCTATGGGTCGGAACCGACTCGATGGCACTCAACAACAACAACAAGGCATTATGGGGCTTGGTTTGTAACTATATTTTGTATGCTAAGTTAGACTTCTGTGATAGCTTGTACTGATCCTTCATCTTCATTTCCAATTTTTACACTCTAATAATCAGTAATTATCAATGCATCTTGACTGCATGTTTGATCAGCTTCTGAATGCAGAAGTTGGAAACGAGCATCAATATCTTCGTTTTCAGGATTAGTGGAAAGTGTGTAAATTTAAATAATATGTCATATTAACTGTTCTTCCTTGTAGGAATTTGAGTATTATTCTATCCTGACAGCATTGTATTTCAGGATAGATCTTAAAATGTTCTTTTTTGATACATTTGACACTGTTCCTCTTCAACTTGCCATTCCGGCATAATAGACCATATGACTGTCAGAATTAAAATGGTCAATATCAGTCCAATTCAGCTCACCATTGCATAGGACGTCAATCTTTATGTACCAAATTTCATTTTTTGATGAATTCCAATTTTTCTTGATTCATACTTTGTACATTCCACATTTGATGACCATGGATGTTTGCAACTGTTACTTGTCATTTTAAGTTGTGCCACACCAACAAAGGAAGGTTCCAGAAACTTTACTCCATCTATGTCATTAAAGCTGACTCTCCTTTGAGGAGTGAGCTCTTCTCCACTTGCATTTAAGTGCCTTCCAACCTGAGTTCATCTTCTGGCACTATATCAGACAATGTTCTACTACTAGCCACAAGGTTTTCACTGGCCAGTCTTTCTCAGAAGTACATCACCAGGTCATTCTCCCTAGTTTGTCTTAAGCTGTAAGTTCCACTGAAACTTGCCCACCATGGGAGACCCAGCTGGTTTTCAAATACCAGTGGCATAGCTTCCAGCATCACAGCAACATGCAAGCCACCATAGTACAACAAAGTGACAGACAAGCAGTGGGGTGCTAAATATACCAAGGGGTAACCATATTATGAGATACTATGATGTCTTTTATTTTAAGGTTCCTGGTGAAGCAATGGTTAAAGCACCCAGCTACTAACCAAAAGGTTGGTGGTTCAAAGCTCTAATTGCTCCTCAGGAGAAAGATGTGGCAGTTTGGTTCTGTAAAGATTTAAGCCTTGCAAACCCTACAGGGCAGTTCTACTCTGCCCTATAGGTAGCTATGTATTGAAATTGAGTAGCCATTAGCAGGTTTTCTTTGTTTTAAGATGCAGTTTAAAGCAGTGATGTTTTGGGGGCAGGAAGAGCCGTTCTCAATTGTTCTAAGGAAGATGAATACTTCTGAAATACGTGGGGCTAAAATCAACATTGTTTTTTTTCTTTCAATTCATACATGGAACTTCTTCAAGGCAAAGCAAACCACTGCCCTGGTCAAATACCTTTATTATTCCCTTTAACAAAGAGTAATTAATGATACTATACAACTACATTTCACTTATTGAACTGCTACTTTGAACCAGGTACTGATTTAACTGTTTTAATCCTCACAACAGCCTATGAGGTAAAATTTGTTTTATTCCAACTTTACAGAGGAGACTGAGGTCCCAAGATGTTCCACATAGCTGGTGAGCAGCAGAGTCAGAATTCACACTCAGGTAATCTGGCCCCAGAGTGTGTGATTTTAACCATTCCATTCTACTGTGCCTGGCTTACCATACTTCTGTCTATGAAAACATGCCGATGTACAATGATGCATTCACGTGTCTCTTTCCCATACTCAACTCTGAACTCCTTAAAGACAGGGTCCTATTTTATAATCATTATCTTCCTAGTCCATTGTTGTTGTTGTTGTTAAGTGCCATCGAGTCGGTTCCGACCCATAGCGACCCTGTACAGGGTTTCCGAGGGTGTAAATCTTTACGGGAGTAGAAAGCCTCATCTTTCTCCTGCGGCCTAGTCCATGGTAGGCATTATATTGATATTGGCTATATGAATGAACAATCTGGGTATTTGCATGTGAATAAATAAGTAGTTACGGCTTATATCAGATGCTTAAATGCATCATTTCATTTAACTCATTAAACTTCACTATCAGATGGGCACTAAAATCCCTATTTAACACAGATAAGCAAACATGCTCAGATGTGGCCCTACACATGAACCCATGTCTGACTGACTTCAGGCAGAGTTTGAGCCCTCAATTAGCTTACTGTAATACATCTCTTCACCAAAACAAAAACTAGACTGTATGAAGGGGCTTCAGAAAGCTCATGAAAAGATTGTATTATCTTTTAATTCCATTATTCCAGGAACTTTTTGAAGCTGCCTCCGTATATTTTCGTACCCAGTAACTGATCAATACAAAGAACTCAGAAATCCTGAGATGAAGGAGGAAGAGGGGGAAGATTTAATATAATTAGGATGATTATTCTTGGTTTTGTCAGGACAGATGGTATTTTCTAATTAATTCATTTCAAATATTCTTAAGGCAGGGTGAAAGGTGGTACAGTACAGTGAGTTAGACAAGGTCCTGCCCTACTGGGGCCACATTCTAGTGGGGCACATGACTCATGCTAATAAGCACTCCAATACAACTGAGAAAAAGAGAGGAAACTGATTCTATCCTATGGGAGTCACTAACAAAAAAGGGGTCTAAGGAAAGTCAGCTGAAGAGCAAAGATGTCAGGTTGAGGGTTAAGGTGCACTTGACCCATGCCATGGTATTTTCAATAACCTCATATGTATACAAAAGCTGGACAGTGAATAAGGAAGACCATAGAAGAATTGACACGTTTGAGTTATGGTATTGGAGGAGAATATTAAAAGTGCCATGGACTGCCAAAAGAACCAACAGATCTGTGTTGGAAGAAGTGCAGCCAGAGTGCTCCTTGGAGGACAGGATGGCCAAACTTCGTCTCTCATACTTTGGACATATTGTGAGGAGGGACAAGTCTCTGGAGAAGGCTATCATGTTTGGTAAGGTGGAGGGTCAGAGAAAAAGAGGGAGACCCCCAACGAGATGGATTGGGTAAGTGGCAGCCTCGATGGACTCAAGCGTGGCCAATAGTGAGGTTGGCTGTTCTGCTGTGCATAAGGTTGCTATGAGTTGGTACCCACCTAACAACAACAACAACAATGAAAGTCTGAGCTGAGCTTGAGCTACTATTGTGCAGCAGGAGGAAAATGCTCAGTTATTTGCCAACAGATCTGTGATCACCGGATATGTGTTCACCAGCTTTGACCCTGTCTTTCATTCTCAGCAATATTGGCTTTCTATCCTATCAGAGTCACTCAGCGATGGAACCTCAGAGGGCACCAAGGCACACAGTTCAGCAGCCCACAGAAGGCCAAGGTTTCCACCCCAAGCAGCAGGGTGATAATCTGGGATGAGCAGCATGCTGGCCCTGAGCAGCAGGACTCACGTTTCTCTGTGGGCTGCACAGCATGGAAGAGCGTCAGGGGCCTCTCGCTACAGGATGGAGGCTTGGAGTCGCTGCTCTTCTTCCGAGACAGGTGCAGCTGGGCATTGGTGAGCGGCACATCCGGCACAGTGTTAAATATCTGCAAAGCAAATTTCACAAACAGGTCACACACGTCTGTGAAATGAAAAGAAGGCACTGGCCTGAACCAGCACAACTCTGAGGCATCTTAGAATAGGCAAAAAAAGATCTAGAAGGATCACCAGCATTTAGTTGGGAGATAAATGACGCTGTCTTAGTCCATAAAGATTGGCAGTCTCAGAAACCCCTATGCAGGGTTGCTGTGCATCAGAACTGACAGTTGGTTTGGTTCTTTTGGGTTTTAATTTTACATATTTCTAGGAATGGCTGCTCAAAATCAACAGCCACTCTCCAGGAGAAAGCTGAGGCTGTCTGCTCCTGTAAAGATTTACAGCCTCGGAGATCCTATACAGAAGGGTTGCTATGAGCTGGAATTGACTTGATGGCAGTGAGTTTATCTGAGGAGCTGGCATTAAACCTTCTCTTTTGGAGGCATATCCCACAGCTTGAGAAACATGCACTTTCATTCCAAATCACCCCGCTATAATTTCACCTGATCTCCTTTCTGTTGTTGTTCTCCCTGGGAAATGAACATAAAGCACTTTACTAAGGATAAGTCACTGTCTGTTAACACCACTTAAAGTTTTTGTTGTTTTTTTTTAAACTTTTATTCTGATAAAATACATATAACAAAACATTTGCCATTTCAACCACTTTACATGTAGCATTCTGTGACATTAAATACATTCACCATGCTGTGCAATTATCATTACTCTCTGATTCCAACTGCTTTCATCAGCATTAACAAAAACTTATGGAAGTCCCTTAGTTTTTGACTATCATTGTCCAGAGCAAATTAATTAAAACCTTTCACTTTTCCTCATTGGTTGTGTTTCCTAGTGCTTGACAATTGTTTCACAGCCTTCTTAGAATGTACATTGTGTATTTAGGTAACATTCCAAACAGAACCCATCAAATCCCAAGCAGGGGCACACTTTCCCAGTCCTTGTCAATTAGCTCAGATGGAGGGAGCATTGCTTTTCACTCAGCATTTGTTAGGTTTGTTGCAGAGCTTTCTTTCCCTTGTTTAAAAGGGGGAGAAAGGTTCCTCTTTCCCCCTCAATGATAAAAGCAAGCAAGCAAACAAACAACCAAACCCACTGCAATCGAGCCAATTCCAGCTTTTAGTGGTGCTGCAGGACAGAGTAGAACTGCTCTGTAGGATTTCCGAGGCTGTAAACCTTTACAGGAGCAGATTGCCTCATCTTTCTCCCTGGGAACAGCTGGCGGGTTTGAATCACCAGCCTTGTGGAAGCAGCACAATGCATAAGCCAGTGTACCACCAGGGTTCCTTTGGTGACAAAAGTAGCTTACATATTACAGACATTACAAAAAAAAACCCAAAACACTCAAAAACTTGAAAAAAGTACTTTAGAAGAAAACGAAAAACTCCCCAAACTCTACACTGCAGAGACAACCAATGCTAGCATTTAGATTTTCATTTATAAGCTTCTTTTTTTTTTTTTTTAAAGACCATGGGGGAGGGGGGGAAAGAGAAGCGCCAGAGAAAATAGGTAAGATGATGATAGCTTCTCATGGTCCTTTTCCCCCCAAAGATACAAAAGTGGCAGAATTCAATAATGATGCTTACCGTGACTACAGTTGTCTGTGCACTGCATGCTGCCGAGGGACCAGCCCTGTACTATGCACTTCACATGTAGCTCACTCGGTTCTCGGCAGCCTTGTGCAACACGTGCTACCTTCACCGTTTTATAAAGAAGAACCGAGACACAGTACAACTAAAGACTTGGCAATCGGCTTCCATAAAGATGACAGCCAAGAAAACCCTATGGAGCAGTTCTACTCTGTGAACACATGGGATTGTCAAGAGTTGGAATGGACTTGACAGCAACGTGAGAGATTAAGATTCATTGATTCAGTCATTAGCATCTCTCAGTCTTTGGAGCTAGCCCCTTCTAGATGTTCTTTCTATTTCTATGGAAGGAAAATAATAGAATGAGTAACAGGAGGTTGGTGAGTGACACCTTCACCTCTGAATGACCCTAGACATATCTGAACCTTTCTTATGGTTCTCTCTCCATTGTGGGTGCATAAAAACAGAACCCAAAAGCTGATAAATAGAAAGCAAATTTGTAAAGAATTATAAGAATTTCAGCCCAAACAGCTGCTCTTCATGGGTTGGCAGGTCCTTGGGCTCCAATGATGCCAGCCAGCTGGTAAAGTCAGTCTCTCTCCCAAACACAGCTGTCTGAAAACCGCATTATCATATTTTTACTAAGGGATTAGACATTTTCAACAAAATAAACGGAATCACTACATAGCTGAGTTCAATTGGGGCTAGGAGATAAAGGGGTAAAGAAAACTTAAAGCAACAATAAACTGGGTTCCAGAGGCGCCAGAACTTCTAAAAAATAGGTTTACCAGTGCCACACATGTTTCTAGTCTCATTTTGAGTCTCTGCAAGAGGAAGGGAAGAAAAAGGCTGTGGTTGTTGATACCCTGCTCCAGTTCTGTAGCTCCCAAGCATTCTCCTCATTTACTTATTTCTCATGGCTGCTCCTAGGTGACAACCAAAGCAGGCACCATCCTCATCCTCATTTTACAATGGTTCCCATACGTGAGTGTTTGTAATTCGCAGGGACTGTGCAGTGTCTGTGCAGTGAAGGTCAACTCTACATATGATGACCATTTCGCCAGGAGAGATTTCCTAACCTGACACTGGCTAAGAAGTAGTGGGGCTGGTGCCAGAGCTCCCAGGGTAGGAGTTGTTAACAACCACACTCTCTATCACCTCAGCTGTCACCCTGCTCATCTCCTCCCCCCCCAATCCTCTCTACAGAAGCCAGTGTCCCACACCCACAAGTGTGAATTTCAACAAACATTGGTACCCATTCACATACTTCTGCCTTTGGCCTCAGGTGTAGCACCTTCAGCAACCCCCAGCTTGGAAAACTAACTCAGAGCTAGTGGTGGGCCTGATTCTCAAGCTATATCACCCCACCCCTTATGTCTGGCTTCCAAATTTTATTTCTTTTTTCTTAATGAGTTACAGAGGATGAGCTCCTCTCCTAATGTGCTGGGAGTGGAGGAAATTTATATAAACTGTCAACAAAAATATAATAATTAAGCCTTACTAAAGAATTATAATAAATGCGAGTGAAACAAAGAGAAGTTCATAGTGAGAAAGGACCATGGATTTAAACAGATGTGTGAAAAATTGCTTCCAAAACAATATTTCTATGCAGCAGAGTGGGGAGAAAAGTGGAAACACAGATGAAGGAGAATTTCATTGTGCTCATGGATTCTCTAAATGGAAAGTTATTCCAGCACAGGACAATTAGCTCTGAAGGAACACAAGTGGTTTGTGATAGGCTGTTAGCCCTAAAGGTTGGCTGTTAGTATACACCCAGTGGCTCTGAGGGAGAAAGGCAGTAAAGACTGCAGGCATGAAAGCACATGGGCCACCTCAACAACAGACAACAGCACAATTGTTTCCATGGGCAAAGCAATACAGTCCTGAAAGCTAGAGCTCTGGTTTTCATTGTGGTCAGCCCCAGGCTTCTGAGGGGCTGTTCTCAGAATGAAATGCAATCATGTGCAAGTGATCACACTGAAGTTGTAACGTTCCCAACGGGGGAACATCCTCACCATGATCACACGGTGTCTCAATGTACAAGGGCATCTTTGTGAATTACACTAAGTCAGAGCAGATGACTTAAGAGTTTCATTAAGAATTCTTAGAAATGATTCCCTAAATTACTTTTGTTCAATTAATTGATAGCTGGAAATTGAACATATGCAAGTTGTCTATCCTTCTCTCCCCCCCCACCCCCAACAAAACAATCAACCCCAAACCAGTTTCTACTGAGTCCATTCTTACTCATGGTGACTCTCTGTGTGTGAGCAGAGGGTGGATCCATGAAGTTTTCAAGGTTATGACCTTTCTAAAGTGAAACACCAGGCCTTTATTTCTAAGGTACCTCCATGTGAGTTTGAACCGCCAACCTTTTGTTTAATAGTTGAGTGCTTAACTGTTTGGGACTCCTGTAAGCGTTTGTTGTTGTTAAGTGCCACTGAGTAAGTTCTGACTCCTAGCAACCCTGTATACAGTTTCCAAGGAGTGGATGGTGGGCTCAAACTGCTGAAAGTACATAATCATACCAGGACTGCAAGTGTTTAAAGTCTTCAAAGGTTTCAAGGCTGTTTATTGTTGAGCCTTCTGGCCAGGCCAAGCAAGAGTCTGACTCTGCACTCAAAGTCTAGGTTGGAATTCTGAAGGAAATGTAAATCATTCCCAATTTTGTAGGTTATTCCAATATTATTTAATTTACAAGAGATGATTTTATGAGTCTCAGATACAGTTTCCTTTGTTCTGCTGAGAAGAATTACTGTACAAAAGACTCTGCTCAATGATGTAATCATGAGTGATATAACCCAAGCCCTGTTGGTGCAGTAGGAGAAGCAGAGGCCTGTTAGCCATAAGTTCAAACCCACCAGTCATTCTGCAGAACAAAGACGAGGCTTTCTGTTCCCATAAAGATTTATAGCCTTGGAAATCCTACAAAGGGTTAATATGGGTCACAAAATGACCTGATGGCAGTGTTTTTTTGTTTTTTGTTTTACCATGTGGCTGGAGCAGTCTAGTCATTTCAATGTGACTTTCCAAACCACATAAAGGATTTACTATATGCCCCCCCATGCCCTGTTAATACTTCCTAAACTTATAACTGTATTCTAACTTAGAGATATCTTAGAGATGAAAGTTAGGAAGAACATAACCCTTCTGAAACAACTAAGGAATAAGACAGTAAAATAAAATGTTATACCAGGTAACCCTTCCAAGTATCCCCAATTTCATGTTTCCTATTAAGGAGCTCTGGTAGCACAGTGGTTATGAACCAGGCTGCGAACCACAAGGTCAGCAGTTCAAAACTACCAGCTGCTCCGTGGGAGAAAGATGAGGCTTTCTGCTTCCATAAAGATTCACAACCTCGGAAACTCTGTTCAGGGTCGCTATGAGTCGGAACCAACTCGACGGCA